GTTTTTTTGAGATAATGTCTCACTATGTAGCCCAGGCTGGCCTCAGACTCGAAGTGACTCAGCTTCGAGTCCTAAGATTACAGGTGCGCACCACCACACTTGGCTGGCACTGTCAATTCTAATTACCCTATCAAGATATTACCTAATTTCTGTATGATGATTTTTCTCTTGTAACTATGAATAGGCAAGGTGTGAAGAGATCCTTTGAAAACCACCCATTTTACTTTTCCACTTAAATGTCCCCCAAACCTCTTCCCTCTCAGGTGGCAAAGACAGACCATCTACATGCATAGTGTACAGTCCTCTGCTGTGCATAGTGCCATAGGAAGTCTGTTCCTTATTTGCTGAGGAACTCTCCAGCACTGCTTTGGACCCAACACTAGGGCTGGCTCCGGGTCCTCAACACAGGCTGGAGTGCTGGGCTCCAGTCACGTGGAGCGGGCACAAAAGAACCGGGACCAAATGCCTGGCCAGCCCTCTGAGAACCCTGAACAGCAAAGGGCGGCAGGCCGACTGGAAGGGGGAAGTCACCAAACCAGAATTGAGTGCTGCATTTAGTTTCCTTGCTGTCATCTGGCCTGGACTCAAAGACAGCCTGAAACCTGGTCCTTCCCACCAAGTGAGGACAGAAAGAACACTGAGTGAAGCCCAGGGAGTGAGAACAGGGCCTCTGGGAGGGATTGTTTTCCTTTTTCTTTTTTCTTTTTCCATCTTCTACCCAATTCCCACTCCCTACCCCCAGGCAATCCCAGGCATCCCCAGCAGCAGGGTCTAGGCTGGTACTTTCCTCTGACCAGGAGAGCTTTGGTCTCAAGATGGGAATGGAAGGGAGAAATGAAAAAGAGAAGAAAGTGTACAATTGTTTTTAAAGGATCCTTTACTATCTAAACTCTTCTACGTGACTTTTAATATAAAATGCATTCCATTTTTTCTTTTTTTTTTTTTTTTGTACCAGGGATCGAACTTGGGTCCTTCCACTTGTGAGGCAGGCGGTGGCACCACTGAGCTAAATCCCTGGCCCATTTTTTCTTTTCTTTTCCTTCCTGAGTTGGGGTTCTCTATGGAGCCCGGGCTGGCCTTGAACTCACAGTCCCCAAGGAGCTCTAGGCATGCACTGCTGCACCCAGCCACAACCTGTATTTCTTAAAAACAGAGCCAGAATACCCAGTAGGAGTTGGTGCACAGTCCAGTACACGGAATGCCCATTATCCCTTGATCAAAAGTAATTTTATACATCCATTCCTTCAATTCGGTGGAAAATGTGAGCCGTTAACTAATTAACGGGTGGCCAAGGAAGAGATGTTGCTATGCAACCCTTGAGCACTGTGCTGAGGCCTCTGGAGCTCCTCCCTTCCACCCAGCAGATGCCAGCTTCCTACTTGCCCACTTGAATGGACCCAGCTTCCTCTGCTGGTCAAGGCCACCACCTGCTGGCTATGCCTCTCTGTGACACTCGTGACCCTCTTCTACTGGAGTAGCAATGCACAAAGCATACCATACAGTCAGGGTGGTGGCTCACACCTGGAATCCTGGCTCCTGAGAAGCTAAGGCAGAAGGCTCACAAGTTCAAGACCAGCCTAGGCTACTTAGTATGACCCTGTCTCACAATAAAAAGATAAAAACAAAAAGGCTGGGGTGTAGCTCAGTGGTACAGCACTTACCTAGCATCCACAAGGCCCTGGTTCCATCCCCAGCAGGGTGGACAAAAAAATTTTTTTTTTTTTTTTGGTGCCAGGAATCAAACTCGGGTCCTTGTGCTTGCGCAGCAGGCGGTGAAACCACTGAGCTAAATCCCCGGCCAAAAAAAAGTTTTTTTTAAAGCATAGCACACAATAAGATAAGAATTAGAATCAGTCAGGAAAATGGGACAGGGGGAAAATAAAAATAGCCAAACAGATGAGAAGAGGCACAGTTCGGGTTGGTGTGCTCTTACATCTCTGACCTCACTGAGGCCAGCACCAAAGGAACATGCACCCTGTTATGTGTCTACATCATCCTCTGGGTAAGAGGAAGCCACTGCACGTCTTCTGAACCTGAGAGAAATTTGTCCCCACAGCATCGTCCTGGCCAGGGGGAGTTGTCCTACAACAGATAGAGCAGCAAGGTAGCTTTCCACCAAAGAGCAAGTCAGCAGGAAACCATTCTGAGGGGGCCCTAAAGCATCCTGTTTCCCCGGGTTTTTTTTGGATGGTCTGACCAATTCAAGAGTGAAATGTAGATGAAAGCAGTGCTTCACCAGCTTTTCCACTGCAGTGCCCCCAAAGCAGAGAACACCCCCTAAAGAGCACAGGGGACAGCCCCAGGCACACTGCCACTCATCCAGAATTTCTTTGGCATCTCCTTATTTATCTCGAAAACTCACAAGAGCTTTTACTGCATGACAGATCTGTGCCTGTCTTCACAGGAAATAATGTTCGAAATCACTTGCTAGCAGGGGTGGCAGCACGCAGAGCCCCTGACCCCTTCAGGGACTACAATGCTGCTGCCTCTAGCGTGATTAGCCCTGGAAAATTAACTGAATTGAGAAGAGCTAATGTGGAGTTTGGCCTCCTGCCTCTTCTCCTAGTTAATATGATAATGTCCCAGGAACTCAGGCTCTCAGAAATAGGTCAAATCAAATGCCAGCCCCCTGCTTTATGAGCTCTGCAAGGAAGAAAGCTCAGCACAGTGCCAAGAGTGACCCCAAGAGGCAGTAGGAGATAAGCCTATGCTGGTTCTGAAAGTCTCAGACAGGGTCCATCCTCTAGCATCCTCCCGATCACAGTGACCAAGGCTCTCAGGTCTCTCCTTCACTTCCTGTTAATACAGCAGTTTCAGTCCATGTAAATAAAACAAGAGATGCCTAGGAAAGAGGTGAGATCCACTCTCAGGAAGCACTCCAGTGAGCAGTGGGGATGCAAGGATGCAGAAAAGCCCATTAGCTCTGCAGTCCAAAAGGTCCAGCCTGTGTTCATTTGAATAAAAACACCAGAAGCCTTCAACTGCTAAAATAAAACAAAGCAAAGCCCAGGCTTGGCAATGCTAAAACACACAGTCCAAGGCCATCATAGAAAATGAGATGGAGAAGGTTACTTCACCTCTGTAGCAGTCCCTGGGAGGCAGAGACCGACAGCAGCCACATCCAGTGGCAGTGTGGAGGGCCAGTGGCAGCACTGTGGCCTGTCCAGTGATCCCTCAGCAAGTCCCTATTTTGTTCCACCAGACAAATCAGTTTCAGTTGTTGCTCCTAAGAACCCTGATACAATAAGCACTGCTCCTTTTGCATTTAACAACACAACTTTGAACTATGGAAAGCAGAAACTATTAGAAATAAAAATAAGCCTGGCATGGTGGTGCATGCCTGTAATCTCAGCACTCGGTGGACTGAGGCAGGAGGATTGGCATGAGTTCAAGGCCAGCCTGCACTACTTATCAAGAAACTGTCTCACAGCCTTAAATGTTTATATCAGTCACAAATCTAGGATGTACTGTCTTTGTATGTGAGCTTTGTAGAGATTTTTAAAAATACAAGCATCTTCCCCATTGAAGAGTGGAGAGTCTACTGGATAACTAGTCAGAAGCTTTCTCTCAGAACTGGACATTGGATATCTTCCTTCTCTCAAGAAATGGTGGTTCACACTATCATGGCCTTATGTATGGTAAAATGGAATCTTCTGTAACTTTCTCATTTAATTGTGGTCTATTTTTAGGTGGACTTGAAAGAATTGTATAAATCAACTAACATATTATCTGAGTTGTCCAACACATGGTATAATTAAGACAGTAAAATATTGCACATTTCCTAGTTGCCTTTGGGAATTTGATGGGGATTTTCTTTTTCAAATTTACATCTTTGAAACCCTTCACACTTGATTTACTAGGCAATGAAAATTAAAATCTAGAATTTGTCCTGCCCTAAGAGATGGATTAGGAATCTGGAAACACACACACAAAAGAAACTGTCTCAAAAAGTGACACCCCCCCCCCAAAAAAAACCCCACTTGGTTGGAAATTTTAAAACATCATTTTAAATAAGTCTCGGGTTAAAGCAGAACTCAAGCCTGAAATTACAAACTATGAAGAAATCCAAAACTAGGAATCTAGGAATCTTCTACAAAGAAGTATGGTACTCAGAAGGAAATTTAAAGGCTTAAATGCATGTATGAGAAGACATTAAAAAATGAAAATAGGGCCAGGGATTTAGCTCAGTGGTTCCGCCGCCTGCCTCGAAAGCACAAGGTCCCAAGTTCGATCCCCGGTACCAAAAAAGGAGAAAGGAAATGAGCTCAGCACCCATTTCAACAGGACAGAAAAAAAGGAATTCTAAATAGAGCAAAAGAAATTCTCAGTTATGTCTTTCAGCTGGGTTCAAATGATTCTATCTAGCACTATTCCAAATATTTGGTTTGAGATAAGAGGCCTGACCTAATTTCCACTTTTAGCACTGATACTATATCCATTAGGATTTTCTAAATAAGTTACATTGAATGACATAAAGCAATTCCCAACTCCCAAAATTGAGAAACATATCAAGCTTCTAATTAGAATGACTGTTAAGCCCTTCCAAATTTGGTTTACAAATTTACTATGTAAGGCCAAACAAAACCATATTCCGTTTTGGGGGCTTGTTGGTTTCTGGTACTGGAGACTGAACCCCCATGGTCTTCATATTGAACTACATTCCCAACCCTTTTTTAAAAATTTTGACACTAGGTCTTGCTTAGTTGCCCAGGGTGGAGTCCAATTCAAGATCCTCCTGCTTTAGCCTCCCAGAGGGCTGGCATTACAGACTTGGGCCACCGTGCCTGGCGTGAATGAATTTTTGATGTGAGCAGTAGCGTGCCCTTTCTCAGCTTCTTAAATGTTGGGAACACTCATATTCCCCTAACAGTATCTTTATGCCTTTGTTCATTATCTCTTGGTGCTTGGTCCCTTGTAAAGGACTTGATTTACCACAAGGCTGATGGCCTCTGAACTTGACATACCGTGACATTTTGTCTCCCTACTATGCTGTATCTCAGATCGCCATGAGGTTATCTCCAAAGAAATCCTGGAGCTGGACCCTTGGGAAAACCAGTGGAATGTTGTCGCCGTCAATGTCCTCATGCATGACAGCTATGACATCTGCCTGGTGGCCAGGATGAACCCCCGAGACCTCATCCCCCCACCCTCGGACCTGGTGGAGGATGGCAGGGACCACTGAGGCCTGAGAGGCTGTGGGCCTTCGGAGTGGAGCGACCCTGCCTTGGCTGTCACAGTCCCAGGACATGGCTGCCGCTGTTGTGCATGTGTGTTGCATGCGTGGCGGGCCTGGGAGAGCGCTGTGCTGTGCTAGGAGGGAGGATGCAGGGGTTCCCTTGGACAGGACATTAGGAGGCCGGAGGTGGTAGCACCCAGGGAGGAGCACGGGGCGGGGGCCACAGAGTACAGGGATGGAAGGATCTCCCTGTCCTGGGGACTCAGAACAGAGGGTGCCATCCTCAAAGGGCCCAAGGAGGAAGCCATGCACGTGTGTGACACCCCAGCCCACCACACTGCCTGGGCACAGGGTATGCTACCAAGACCAGAAAAAAGTAGTTGTAGCTAAATGACCACACCTGCAAGGATGTGGGCCTTGAGCAGAGAATTCTCTCAAAATAGTGACAGCAAAGGAAGGCTTCCCTCTGCCAGGGCTTCCATCTTAGCTGTGCTGCCGCTCACCATCAGAATAGCCCCCTGCTACAGCCCTGTCCCTGGCATGTGTCCACGCCCCATGGCAGGCACCACGAGCAGACAATTCCTCCCAGGATGGGGACAGCAGTTCTGCGGCCCTCAGCCCCAGGCCTGCCACCATATGTCGGACCAGACTTCCGCAGGCTGCCCCTGCCCAGCCCTGAAGGCCACAGGCCGGACCCATCCACCTCAGGAACAGGCGCCGGGGGGGGGGGGAGGCAGCCACACCCCAGCTGCCTGCTGCCCTCTGCGCCCAGCCCCTGAATCTGTCCCCTGTGTCTCAGGGTGAGCACAGCAAGTCAGTCACCAAGTGTAGTTTAGGGGTAACATTGAAACGCCACGCGGGGATCCCTCTACCTTACTCCACCCATCCCTCCCAGAGCACAGGGTGCCATGTGGGTGGCTGTTCTAGTTCCAGAGGCCCAGCGTAGGTGGTCCCCCAAGTCCCGGGGGTGGAGCTCTGGTGGCCAGAATGGGGCAGTGTTTTGAGGCCACGGGGCTCCGTCCTACGCCTAGGGTGCTGAGTTAGGATGAGCGGCTCTGCTTCCTCATGGAGTCAGCCTTGGCTGAGGACAGGCCCCAAGGGCCTCTGCCTCTCCACCAATGTGAGCCTGTGGAGCTGCCCATCCCCAGCTAAGGGGCCCTGGCCTGTGTCTCTTGGTGCCTCTGTGTGCACTGGATTCAAGATTGGCCCCAGATCTGCTACTTACTCAGCCATGTGGGCCCTGCTGGGCAAGATGACCCTTCCCAAGTCTGATGTCCCGGGCAGAAGGGAAGGAAAGAACTCAGTCCTTGAGAGCTGGTGTGGAGTGCTGAGAAAATGCCCCTTAGGTGCTAAATAAACATGCTTTGCCTGCCACTGTTGTTATCATCACTGTCTTCCGAGTTTCCCAAAACAATGCTCACAAAACCGGACCCAGGGCTCTGGGGACCCCTGGACTTCAGGCTCAGACAAGCAGGGTTAGCTCACCTGCTTGGCTTCTCCCAGGGCTCAGAAGAAATGTTTCCTCGGAGCTTCGGCCCTGATGCCTTAAGTGGACACCCTAGGGGCCCTGAGGCCTGAGGGTGAGCCCGCCTGTCATCCACAGTGAGGGGCTTGACCGACTCTGTCACTGTCCCCTGTGAAGTCTCCTCCGCAGTGGCAGAACCGATCTTCCCACCTGACGGGGAGGCCAGACGCCGTCTGCCCAGAGCCAAGACAGCTTGTGTCCCAAGCCCTGAAGGACAGGCAGGCGCCCAGAGGCAGGGCTTCCCAAACCTGTTCCCAAAGAGCGGCTTTCCAGATTTAATTTTGCTTTCTGACCTTAATTTTTCTTTAATTCAATGTAATAAATTGCTTCTTGTTCCAATAGTTGTCAATCTTCATGTTTATAATCAAACACCACAGCTGCTGCCTCCTCCTTCGGGCAGATTTGGGCCCCTTCCCTCTGGCTGTCCTCACTGTGACTGAGGCTCCGAGGACTGGCTGCTTCCTGTCCCTGAGACACCTGCAAACAGAACCTGGAAGGAGTTGGCTGGGAGCTGATCAACTACCATGGCACCGACATCCCCAGCTCAGTGCGTGTTTCGACAGCAGCACTGTTTTCAGATTGACCTTAAAACAAGCAAATGCTTTAGATCCAAACATAAAATTTTACTTATAAAAGATTGCTTGCATGTTGGTTTTCATACTGCAGCTTGACATGAGTTTCATCTGAGAGGGGTTCCTGTACCTCAGAGATGCTGAGGGGCCTCAGAGCAGGAATGACCAGCCAGCAGGGACAGCAGAGGGAGACAGTCAGGCCCGTGAGGTGGGAGACAGGCAGCAGGTGGCCCCGGTTCCTAAGGAGCTGGGGCACAGGAGGATGTCACATAGCAGTAACTCCCAGCTACTCCAGAGGCTGAGGCAAGAGGATAGCAATTTCCAACCCAGCATGGGCAATCTAGTGACTTCACAAGACCCTATCTCAAAATAAAAGACAAAGACGGCCAGGGATTTAGCTCAGTGGCGCCACTCCTGCCTCCCAACTGCAAGGTCCTGAGTTCCATCCCTGGTACCACAAAAAAATAAAATAAAATAAAATTTAAATTTAAAAAAGACAAAGAAAGGTCTCGGGGTGTAGCTCAGTGTGTTAGTTCAATCCTCAGAACAAAATAGGGGGGAGGGAGAGGGGAGAGAAAGGAAGGGGGAGGAGAAGAGGAAGAAGGAGAAGGAAGAGGAAGGAGGGAGAGGAGGAGGAAAAAAGAGAAAAGGAGGAAGGAGAGGAGGGAGGGAAGGAAGGAAATGAGCAGGGAGGGAGGGAGAGAACCAAGCCCAGCGTGGTAGGGCAACTATAATTCTGGATACTTGGGAGGCTGAGGCAGGAGGATCACAAGTTCAAGGCCAGCCTGGACAACTTAGTGAGATCCTGTCCCAAAATAGAGAGGGCTGGGCCGGGGATTTAGCTCAGTGGTTCCGGCGCCTGCCTCAAAAGCACAAGGTCCTGAGTTTGATCCCCAGTACCAAAAGAAAAAAAAAAAAATAGGGCTGTGGTTACAGCATTTTCAAGGCCTTGGGTTCCATTCTCAGCACTGCAAAAAGAAAAAGAACCAACTAAAGTCACTGAAGACCTAGATGGCCTCACCAAGGAATCCAGACCACAGGCCCCAGCAACAGGGCTTCAGGCAACAAAGGCTTTAAGAGTGTTACTCTCAGCTCAGAGGTGTGGCGAGGCCCACTCCCTGGAGCCTGGACTGACCCAGGAGCAGAGGGGTGGGAACCACAGTTCGAGTGCAGCGCAGCCCATAGCAGAGGACCAGCAGTGTGATCAGAGGGGGAGGCAAGTCAGCCAGAAGCTCAGAGCTGGGAGTCCTGCTCCTTCAACAGCACCCTGGAGGGCTCAGGTGCTCTCCCCAGGCCCCGAGGGGTTACCCAGAGCAGCAGGTGAGGCAGTTGTCACCCCACTGTTCTGCCAGGCCCAGCCAGGTTGGGCGGTGACAGTTCACAGAGCCCAGGGCTGTCCTCCCAGCTTCTCAGGAAGCCCTCCATGGCATGACCAGTCACACTCCTGCTCCATGTACCAGGGCTTAGTGGATCATGGGGATCCAGGGACAGCTGTGCTGCAGAGGGGCCTGGGAAGATTTCCTGGCTCTCAGAGAGGCCAGAGGGAGAGGAGCTGTTTTCTGCAGAGCCCGTGAGTTGGCCACCCCTGGAGCCCTGAGGGTGTGAGGGGACAGGAAGAACCCAGGTCCTCGGCAGTGTTGCTGAATTAACCAGCCAGATCCCAACTGTTAGGTAAGTGCTCTTCCTTGTGCTGACCACCAAGTTACCTGCACCTCAAGATTTCCTAAGAGGTGCTCCAACCCTCCCCCTAAAGCTGCCTTCTCTTGAGATGATATCTGCTGTCCTTGCCGCATGCCAGGGTGTCAGTGTCCTGGTCCCTGGAATGTCTGCGAATGAGATTGTCCTTCGCTGTGACAGGGTAAATTCCACGTGGTCTGTGAGTGGCGATAGTTTACAAGCCCAAGTGCTTCCTGGCTACCTGTCTGGTATTCCTTTCTATCTCAGAGCCTCCACATTTTGCTTGTTTATTACAAATCTCACCCACCACCTGTTACTATAAACATTACACAGCCACAGGGATCCATTTCTGCATCGCCTCTGGCTACTTTCCGGGTGATCTAAGGCCCTTTGCAGAAGGTTTGCCAACTTCTGGTTCCTCCCATCAAATCTTCTGGAAGAAAAATTTAGAGTTGCCAGGTGCGGTGGTGTATGCCTGTAATCCCAGCACTCGGGGGGCTGGGGCAGGAGGATCACTGTGAGTTCAAGGCCAGCCTGGACTACGTAGCAGGAATTTGTCTCAAAAAACAAAGAAAAGAAAAAAGAAAACTGAAAGGGGTGGTGGGTCAGCTGATCCGAGGTGTGGTGCCCTGGTTTTAGGCCGCTCACTTGGCCCTGTGAGCCGCAGCAGCCATGGCCAGCCAGTCGCAGGGAATCCAGCAGCTGCTGCAGGCCGAGAAGCGGGCCACAGAGAAGGTGTCCGAGGCCCGCAAGCAGCTCCAGTCAGCAGCAGCAGCACACTAGGTGTGCTTACTTCTTGGGGAGAGGAGGAGTTCCCTAGATGGCTGTTACCCATCTTATGTTGAGCTGGCCTTGAACTTGTGATCCTCTTGCCTCAGCCTCCGGAGTGCTAGGATTATAGGAAAGAACCAGAGGCTGAAGCAGGCCAAAGAAGAAGCTCAGGCTGAGATTGAACAGTACCACCTGCAGAGGGAGAAAGAGTTCAAGGCCAAAGAAGCTGCGGCCTTAGGATTGCACGGCAGCTACAGCAGTGAAGTGAAGGAGACCCAGGAGAAGATGGCCATCCTCCAGACCTACTTCCAGTAGAGCAGGGAAGAAGTCCTGGATAACCTCCTGGCCTCTGTCTGTGACATCCGGGCAGAAATCCATGAAAACTACCGCATCAATGGATACAAGAAAGAAACACCTGTTCTGTAGATTAGCATTGTAGATGCTCTCATGGAATATGAAACTTTAGCAAAGTTGATTTCTGTTCTTAAGAAATGCATTAAATTATTTCTTATGTTGTGTAATAAATAGTTCCTTTCACTTTTTGGAGAGGAGCATATCTAGCTTCTTTGGACAAACTTTGTACTTTCTCCAAAGATTTCGTCTTTTTACCTTGTATTTCTTAGAAATTTAATGAGTATATGTTGTCTGTTTTCTTATACCTTTTAGCTCAAGCAACATGTACATCAGTGTTGACTTTTTCATTCTTAGATTTAGTAAGTAAAAGAAAAAACAATTCTTTAAAGAAAGAAAGGGATTAAATAACTTTTTTCCCTTACACTTTCTTAAAGATCAGGGGCTTTATCTATGAAAATGTATTAAATAGTTATTTGTAACTTGTATGATGCAGCAGCCAGCCTTAAAGTAGTATATTTTGAGGAAGGATTAGAACAGCTAGTACTAGTATACTTGCTTCGGCTGCACTTAGTTTATCTTAACCAAAATTACTAGATGAGCCAGGTGTAGTGGTACATGCCTGTAATCCCAGCACTCGGGAGGCTGAGGCAGGAGGATCACATTTTCGAGGTCAGCCTGGGCTACATAGTAAGATCCGGGCCTGCTTGGACTATAGAGTGAGACCTTGTCTCAAATCAAAACAAAACAAAACAATTTACTAGATGATAGGACTCAAGAACTTGTTACTTACTATTTGGTGTATTGATAATCATTTACTAGTAAAAGTAAAGACTTTGTTGTGCAAAAAAAAAGAAAAAGAAAAAGAAAACTGAAAGGACTGGGGACGTAGCTCATTGTGAAGGCCCTGGCTTCAATCTGCAGTACCAAAAACAAAAATTAGAAGGGCCAGGGATTTAGCTCAGTGGTTCTGCCGCCTGCCTCGCAAGCACAAGGTTCCAAGTTCAATCCCCGGTACAAAAAAAATTACAAAAATTAGACATAGCTATATAGACATAGAGATATAAATATATGTGCTGAGCAGAAGTAATATATATTATAAAGGAATATATGTGCATAGCGCATATTCTTTTATTTTTGCATATAAAACATGATTCTAATCCATTCTTCTCTCATTTGATCTGGTTTTTTTTTTTTGCTGTACTGGGGATGAGAACTAGGATATGTGCATGCTAGGCCACAGTCCTACCACTGTGCTGTAGCCCCAGCCCCTCAGTGTTCCATACAGGACCATGCAGATCTGTCTTTTTACTTTTTAACACCTGCACAGTATTCCATTGTGGGAGAAGATTTCTTTCCCAGTCACCTGAATTGGATGTGTCAGTGGTCTCCTCCAGCTGTTATTTTGGTGAGTAGCAGGGTTGGGGGGGCTCAGATCTTCTGCTCTTACTATGGGCCCTGGCACCAGTCCCAGGCTCGGGCTCCCTAGAAGGTGGCTTCCCAGTATGCTTGACTTTCTGTTGGATGCTCAGCAGCAGCAGGAGGCAGAAGCAGGAGTGTGGCTGTGTGCTGAGTAGCCTTGAGCCGCTTAGAGGTTCCGGGCTTGAAAGACAGGGCACCAGCAGCACAATCTCCACAGGCTGGGGAGTGTGGAGAAAATACTGGCCTGAAGGAGGAGGATCCTTCGGCTCCTGGCCAGGCTCAAGGCCTCCAACCCCAGTGGACGCTGTCTCAGTCAGGGCTACCCACAGTGCACTCCTCTCCACTCGGGGCCTGGTCTTTGCGTGACCATCTCTAAGCAAAGGTCTGAGAGCACCTGAAAGCTGTGCCAGAATGAGGTTGTCCTAGGCAAAGGCAGATGGAAAACATCCACTCCACCCTCTCAGGGTGCTCCCCCCAAAAAGAGGCGCTATCGGATCCCCAAGTAAGCAAGTACCACCTTTCCCCAGGAAGCCCAGCTTGCAGGCATCACGGAGGGAGATTCCGAGCCCTTCCTCTATCCAGGCACTGCACGGTCCTGATCTGGGATTTGAGGCCTTGCTCCTGCCCAGCTTTGCCTTCTAGAGGGGACATTGGCAAGCACAGTGACCTTCCAGCCCGTAAAGGGTAAAAGCTGTCCCAGCCTGGAGTCCACATTTCCTGTGAGCTTTGTATTATTGCTGTAACAAGGAGCACGGGTCAAATGGCTCAAAACAACACAAAGGTACTCCCTT